TGTCTATCACATTTTACCATTTACAAGATTAATTCTACCAGACACCAGAAGTTATACGATTTCAGTTTAAATCACACTAAGCTATGATTCAGTATACCATAAAATACTAAAGACAATGTTGTAATTATTAGTTTAAATCAAATTGGGGAGAAAAAAAATCAGTGATGATGAGATTTTAAATGTTTTTGAGTGACAATGTTCACATTTGTAAAGTAATGTGCTGTTAAAATTTTAATTTCTATAAAAATAAAAAAAAAACATTTTTTCCCCCACAAATCTGTCCATATAACATCCATCCACCCATCCATCAATAAAAGGACTTGTGAAGCTTGTCCCACAAGCAAATCGGAGCGTAAAATAATCAAGACTGTTATTTACCTCCTGCTACACCCAAAGAAAATAGGCAATTTCATCCAGGTCTACAGGATAGTCTGTGAGGTGCAATGGTTCCTTGATATCAAATCTCTCCCCCTTGTAGCTTCTCCAATGGCCAGCTGGGAGGTAGATGTCTCTCTCTTGCTTTCCAGGCTCTAAAACTGGGGCTACCATGAGGTCATCCCCAATCAGGAACTGGGAGTCAATTTTATAGGCTGTCTCATCACCTGTGGCAATCCACCACACTGGTCGTATGATTGGGTCCCCAGTGCTCAGCACCTCGCTGGCCAGCTCCAGGACCCTTGGTGCCACAAGACTTTCATGGAGGGCGGTGTATTTCCGAGCAATTTCAACTACATCATCGCCGTACTCCCACGGTGGAATAGAAAACTGCATAGAGGGCATGAAGGCTGACAGCTCCAACCAGCGGATATAAAGTTCTCGGTCAGGTAATCCACGATTTCCATATGTGCGGTTCACATGCGCATTCCCTCCAATCATATCTGGTAAAATGAACTGGTAGCCCAGAATGCTGATGGTAAGCACTGCAGGAATAACAGATTTGAGACCCAACTCATACCCCCAAACTGAGTCTCTGTCAATTGGTCTGAAAAAGCAGGATATGTTCTGGGACTGGTAACCACTGCGCGCCTCAGCTCTGTCATTGTACAGGCTTGCCATTTCTGTGTAACGTCTTGTGAAAATACTCGGGTCCCGAATGGATTCCAAAGTCTTAAATTTCCATGGTAAGTAGTTAGCCTCTCCTGCCTCAAATTTAAAAGAGGACACCCCATACCTGGATCGCAGTGAACGTAACTGGGAGGCAAACCAATCACGGGTTTCAGGGTTTGTGAAATCCAAGATGCCACCAATGCCATTCCACCAACGCACTAAGGCTGACAGTTGGCCTGTAGGTTCTCGGACAAACAATCCCCTCTCCACACAGGTATGGAAGTTTTCTGAATCATGATTAACAAAAGGGTGAATCCAGAGAGACACCATAAAATCATCTGACTTCAGCTTATGAAACATAGCAGAGGCATTGGGGAACTTAACTGGGTCAAACTCAAAGTCCCCATAGTGGCGGGAATAGCCATCATCCAGTTCCATTTGGCTACAATTGAAGTTATACTTGCGAATGTTCGCAGCATATGTCAAAAGCTTTTCTTGGTCAATGTCAGTTTTATGTAATGCCCATGTTGACCAACTGGGATGGCGAAACATAACTTCGGCAGGCACTTTGTTTGGCTTGTTGAAGTATCTGCGGACCATGTACTTGTGTATGGATGTTACATCCGATCCCACACAAACTCTGTAGCTAAGTTCCGCACATGGCATCTCCCCTGGGTTTGGCTTAAAGGAACTATCATTATACCGTGCTTGGAAGTACATGGTCTTCTCTGTGTCATTCCAACCCAAATGGAAGGGCACAGAGTTATTGATCTTGATGGCAGTGGCATTAGATGAAATCCAGTAACTCTCTAAAATTCCACCAAACTCATCACGATTCGAGTAGATGTCACTAGTAACAAATGGTTTTGGAGCCTGTTGGCCAGAAATAGAAATAGGCCAGTGTTGAACTGCTGACACTGCGCCTCCATACCAGTGTGCAAACTTGTATGTCATTGCATGCTCTACGGGAATATCAGGAACCACTTCCTCCCAGCGCACACGGTAGCATTGGACAGTATCCTTGGGCCGTACTGTCTCAATGAAAAAAATCAGTTTTCTGTCTGTGGTGCGGACGCAGCTCAGAATCTCACCTTCTTTAGAGCAGGAGTCTAAATCAAGGGTCCCTGACCTGTCAAGATTCAAAAATAACTATAAGCATTATCTCTTTACACAAATCTCACATTTCTGTTAAATGACAAAAAGTTCAGCACATATTTAAAATAATGGATTTGTATATTTAAAGGTCTCATTTTTTCTGTATATGGAAACTTAAATAGCAAAAAAATAAATAAAATAAATTGAAATACCAACCTGAAATCCATTCTGAAAACGATAGACCCTCCCTGGTTTCGGATGATGTAGCCATCTTTATTCAGATCCAGCAGCTCAGTCTTAAGCAGTTCCGCTTTGCGTAAAGAGGCTATGTAGTAACACCACGCAGTCACAGCTGCAATCACCAGCACTAGCCCGATTACTCCAGCTCCAACTAAGGGTCGAGTGTCCTTGCTGAGTTTCTGCTTAGGGATAACATCTGTAATTGTGCCTCCCGCTCCACCTGGCACCACTTGGTACATGTTTCTGCTGTTCAATGTGCAAATCCCAAAGTAGCTTTTCCACAGATCATCAATATGTTTTACAGGAAACCTCTTCTGTTTGACACTTGGAAGCTTGTCACATCTGTTTTTCTTCCTGCCATGACAACGATATACCAGTCTTTTAAAAAAAATAAAAAATTGGTGACGATGCAATATTTGTAGATTTCATATTAACACAGTATTTTGAGGAAATCAAACTTCAATTACTATTTTGATTCTTTATAAGAAAAATGTGCAGGTGTTTTAGTGCATTCATGTTTCTTTCAGTAGCAAACAGTCAGAATATACCAATGAAACTATCAAAGGACCTCCAGGAAAACAACCCCAGCCCCATCGGTGCTCTCAGTCCTTCTTGTTTCCCTGTCAGTTCAAAGCCTCCACTACATTTCCTGGGTTGTCTTACATGCTCTGCATTGCTGAACAAAGTGATTTCACAGCACTTAAAGGTATTAGGCTGTCAGAATGTAAACTTTAAAGATGTGTTTGAGATTTAACCAAACAAATCTACTGCCAATTACCCATAAAAAAAATAAGTAGATGTTCCCAACAGTAATTCTAACCTATGAGATCAAAATTGAAAGAATACTCATTTGTATGTAAGGAGGCACAGAAGCAGAAAAGGGGATTTGGGCCTTAAACCTCTGCCAATGTCAGGAAGGAAAGTAAAGAATACTAAACATTGTGTTCTATCAAGCCCAACAAACCAAAACTCCAAGTAACCCACACATCATTCGGTGCAAGTTTGACAGCAGAGTAAACAAGTCTAACAAAAAGAAAACAGACAGAGATCCATTTGTAGTGCACCTCCCAGCGAAGGGAAGGCAGAAACTCTTATGGGTAAACTAATTAATGGCTGATGTTAGTTATTGTGGCTTTAACTAATCAGAGGAGATCTGATAAGAATGCACAGCCGATCTAGCGGAGTTCAGTCCTCTCCAACTCAGCTACATGCTCACTAGTCCTAACTACACTTGATGCTCATGCTCTGCCCTGGCAGCAGGGGTCGATAATAAACAAATGCTGGCTATTAATTAGCAATCTAATTGACTGATTCTGTGTTCAACCAGCCCTGGTATAGATTTCCCCCAACAGCAGTAGTGATAACATAAGCCTATCATTAATTAACAGAGAACTAACTGCTGGTAGCTCTGAGATTCAATCAAGCTGCTGGACCCAGTTAGGAAATTTACCAAGAAAGTCAGAAGATCATTTACCATTTCTAGGAGTTATTTCTTCTTTATTGTAATGGAAAACTACAAGGGTGGGTTTAAGAAGTTAACCTATGACAGTTTGTGATTTGATATTGATCATATCAGGCTGAAACCAACACTTTGGTCAACATTAATAGGTTTTTTCCACCAAGAAGTACCTAATTGTTTCATCCACACAATCCTGGAAAACTGTGCAAGAGGCCACAGTGACATCTTTCCATTTCTTACAAATATGCACGTGTGTGTAGACCAAATGATTTTTGCTTAGTTTTATGGAGCTAAAATTTAAAAAATAAAAATAAAAATGTGGCCAATCCTTTCTGCTCCAGTTTCAACGGCTTCTCACAAACAAACTCAAAGTTTTCAAGTACAGCATGTTCTTCTTCTAAAAGCTTTACACTGCATTTTTTTTTGTTTAAGGTATTATCAAGAGGGCTCATATGTACCATTTCAGCTGATTCACTATCTACCATCACATGGAGGAAAAACAAACAGTGAAGTGCTGATCAAATCAGAGCAGCCGTGTGAGAAAGAAACCCTCCATCAGTCTAAATCTAAGCTCGTGCGTGTGTGCAAAATTGACTGTTGTGTGCTGTGGAGTTTTTGCTTATATATCTGTCTCTTATTAACTGCATAAATCGTGCACTACAGACAACAACAGCGCATTTCTAAGCATGTCTGTGTCTGTCGATGTATAGAGACCAGTCGTTGGTTTTATCGCCTTAGTAGGTGGTACGAGAAAGAAGAAAAATAACACGTAATCCATGTGCACTATAATTTTCGCTCACACTTGTTGCCCTTTTCTCTTCGGTTTGTTAGATTTTAAATTACATTTATAGTTTATTTTTTGTGGGGTTTTTTTGCCTACCGATCAGCAGCAGTCCCCCCGTCGACTCAAAGTACAACTTGTTTGCTTCTGTTCACACAAACAGCCCGTGAAAGGAATCAAAGCGTGCTGCTGGGTCTCCGCCCTGCACACGTCCATAAACGCCTGGGAAATGTAGTTCAGCAGAAAAGCAGCGCTCTGTGTTTTCTCATTCTGCTGCGCATGTGACAGTGTTGCATGCAAATTACGCAATACTTCACAAAGAACCCGATGAACCTAAAAGTCACCAAAAAAGTGCAGTGTATACAGAAGTGAGGAGTTGATCCTTAGCAAAGTGAGGGTAATGCTTCCTTTATTTGCATCGATAGTGACACTCTTTCACTGCATTTGCTCTGGTAGTTGAAGACGGCATCATACTGTATCATTGTACTGATTCCCTTTTAATTGACACACGTTTTCCTCAGAAGATTAAAATTACAAAAACTCACGTACAGCACCTTAGGGCCTCAGAGCCTCATTTGATCTTCAAAATCATCCCATGAGAAGATCTTTGGTACCGATTGAGCACTTAACTGCAAAAGTTTCCTTGCATTACACAATGAGATAACAGCTGTGCTTGTACACTCTACATGATTCACTCTTACACCTTGTCTCACTGGGTTAATTAACAGAGAATTAAGGAAAAGTTAACAATTGCTGGAGAGTAGCCTCAGGCTCTCCGTGGACCTCTTCGGGTCACCATCTTGGAAACCAGAGCTCTAATAATCCTAATAAAGGCTTTCAGACACAAACTCTGGGTGTATGATGTAGTGTCCAGCTTGGTAGGGCTTCACTACATGGAAGCAGCTGTAGCAACCACTGCTGAGGAACCAAAAGAGAGGAAAAGGACTATCAGCAGCTATTATTAAATGCACCAAAACAAAAATGGGGATATATTTCAATATATCACATTCGACTAAATAATCACCTGTTATCCCGGCTGCTGTTAGAACAGCACCTCTGGTATTTTGTCTGTACAAAGCTGCAAGGAGCTGCAGGAGTTTGGGCTCTTGTTTCAAGCGGAGCAGCTGTATTTTGCCTGTTCGAAAGATGAAAAAAAAAGTTTTTTAATAGAATTACTAGGTTATAAATCAATAATGTTCATCAGCCCTGAGACCATAAGAACAGGCCAAAGGTTATTTGCCTACCTGAGCTGCTGTGTTGAATGTGGATGGACATGCTTTTGATAACCAAGTCTGCTGCAAAGAGAATCACTCTAAATCACTGAGTATTTATCTCTGGTCTGTTGATGGAATATACAGAATATATTTACCTTTGTGGGCTCTTCAAAGCAGTGCTGAGGTGGATGTCAGTGCTCGGGGAAGGCTCGGTCAGTTGTAGTTTCTGCAGTTTATCAGCAGAGGGCATGGCTTGTACTGTTGATGGGTTGACAGGGGGCATGTGTTGTGTTTTGTCGGTTGTATTTAGATAGCTGTCAGAACAAGTTGCAACAGGACCGTGAAATGAAAAATGTCTGACAGGGGGGAAAAGAGGGCGGCCGAAGTCCACAGGGGGCAAGGGATGAAGAAGTGCATGGGTTGACCTATTGTTTGACTGAAGGCTCCTGGGAAACAGAAAGTCCTTGGGAGGCAAAGAACAAATGGGACACATACATGTAAATTTTCTTAACTCTATTCATCCTTGCATGAATAAATAAGCACGGAGAAATTCCTGCATAATAGTAGGATACAGCTGTTATGATTCACAGAAAAATGTGCCCAACCAGTCAATTAGTAGGACACTTTTTTTTAATATAGCCAAACAAAATACAATGCATAGAGCAGTAGGTATAATTGCCTCAGATAATCCTGTCTGCCTGAAATGAGCTATATTTTTCATATTTTCTGAATCACCCAGGGTGATATAGTATAACTTCTAATTTTGGAGACAAATTTGAAAAAAAGAATAAAGAAATTCCAAAATTTCCAACAGTCACTCCGGCCTTTCATTCACACAGATCACGTAGGCAGTATTGAAAGCTGTGTGTCTTACCGCCCGGGGCTGAGGGTTGTTCCTACGGTGGGCAGAGGTCGGTCGAAGTTGAGCTCTTTTCACTGTGCCTGGAGATCTGAACTGTTCATTGTACACTGTGATGTATAGTTGGGGAACCATCTTCACTGACTGCCTTACTTACTTTTCCACGGCTTACATCCAGATCAGCCTGCCTGAATGGAGCATGCAGCATCACTCACCTCCCCCTGACACCTGCTAACTCCACCCCTTCCCCGAAAACAGTGTACCTCCTCTTTGTATTACCTTTGTCTGTGTGTTTGTTTGTTTGGAAATATTGTCTAATATTTATGGGGGTTTATTATTCCTGGAGTGTGAATACCACCTATTTCACTGTCATATTTATATATTATTTATTCTATATTTATATAACAACATGACATTTCTCTTGCATCAGTAGTTATAAATTCTGCATGAAACCCTGTCAACCTCCAAACTGATAAAACTTTTTGTTTAACCTGGAGCTATTCTGATTAATGTACTCTGTTGGAAGGAAAGCAGATTAAGGGCATCCTTGCTGAAGCAGAAAAACTCTTTGTGCTACCTGAGCACTCGGCCACTAATCCTCCTTAGCTGCAAGCCCCCTGCAGAGACACACATACCTGGGGTCACAGCCCATGACCTATTTCCCTCCCAGGGGCCTTTACAAATAAGCCAACACCAATCTCCAACACTTCTGGCCGTTCGGCTGCCTCGTAGTTAAAATAAACTCAGCGCTATCAGATCAGCAGAAAAGGAGTGAAACAGCAGAGAAATGGGGCTTCTAAAAATCTTCACCACCACCACAACCACCACCACCCAGTGTCACCTCTGTTCACTGTCAGCTTGCCACATAAGCATTAATAATTTACCAAGCGCTGTAGGGTGCCTTTGTGTCTCCAGCGCTCTCACTGACTTATCTGTGACAGGAACTGGCTGTTCATCTAGTGAAGCGGTTGGGGCCTCGCTTGACAGCCATGTTAAGCCCAGTCAAATCCACGCGAACAGATGCAGAGCAGAGGATATGGGGAATCATAGTAATGATCTGGCAGGAGTGTCCTTCACAGGAGCTCAAATCAGATCCAGGGCTGTGCGTTCCCAGCTTTGATACAGTTTTCATACAGCTTGAAACAACTTCTTTATTTCGTTTCATTTTGTTTCAAACGGCACACTCGGAGCCTGTTAATGTAAGTAATTTTCACAGTTAAGTGACTTCAAGTGTAATGAAAGGTACAAACATCTTTTTTTTTAAAAAACAAACAAACAAACAAAAAATTTACATTTCAAAGTAAATTCCCACTTTATATGAGATGCATGTGATCATGCAAAGAGGCTTCCTGCTGCACACCCGGCAAATGTCCAACATGTGCAGAGCTGACTTCAAAGCGCTTGTCATGGAGTCGGTGGTCGTAGTCGTAGTGGATTCAGTGGTGCTTAGTTTTAACTGCTGCTTTTAGTTTTGTGTAGAGAAAACCGAAATTCTGTTAAAAGAGAAAGAATAGGTTATTTTAAACTGGTAGTGCTTTTAGACTACGCAGAATGACGAATAAACAGTGCTGTAGCTGCACTGTCTACAGTTCCTTGTAAACAGTGTAGTTACATGGAAATATGGAATACAGTATGATTAGATAATATAATATGGGCGTCAAAGAGTGCATTAACACACCTGGATTGCGTAGTAAACAATACCCAGGTAAGCAGCAATGCAGCCTCCCAGGAACAGATCAAAGGCTGCAGGCTTCACTCTGAATTAAAAAATGCACATTAGAGTTTTAATGGCTTATTAAATTTAACATATACACTAAAATTTAAAAACAGATATAATAATACCAATATCTACCTGTACATGACTATTGGTTGGCTCATTTGATCAAAGAAGGTAATATCAGGATCCCTGCAGGAAGAAATGTTGTTGATCATTATTATTGTTGTCGTGGTATGACCGATTGGATTGAAAAGATGTTCTTTCTACTCAGATAGCTGTATTTTTTTACCTCTTGTCCTGTCGGAAGGTGTGTCTGTGGACTTGCTGCAGATAGCGCTTGAATTCGTGCTCCAGTGAGTTGACCAGCAAGATATGACTGGGTTCCTTATCCAGCAGCTGAGTAGCCCGAGGGACTGATGTCAGGAAGGACATCAAACTGGAGATACGACTGTCCTGAATGTCCTGAATTACAGATTTGGATGTGGGTTTTGCAGAGGGGAAAAAAGAAATCACACAAAACTCAGCTTCTACTCTGCATGCATCAGTTCTTATGATTTAAAAAATAGACTCTGTTTAGACTTTTTCAGTTACATGTAGATATAAATCTTTAAGAAATGACATTAAAACATGTTTGAATAAATAACCTCAGTGATCCATCCCTAACCTTCAGATGATCATGAGGAATAAGCTGCTGAAAGACTCAAACACTGTGTCATGTCTCTAAACTAACACCAGAGGTCAGCACTTCTCTGTACATACCAATCAAAATAACTGGGAACTTACCAGCTGGCCCTTGAAAACTTGCACATCCTTTGGTGAACCCTTGTGAAAAATAAACACACAGTTATGACACATTAACATGGCTATTTTAAAGCAATGCTGACGTAATGAAATTTTTTTATTATATTTTCAGTATGCTGTGTTTTCATGCATTCAGTCACCTTGTCAGAGAGATTGTACATGTAGCGGGCCAGCGCTTCTGCTATGATGATGCCATTTCGCTTAAGTTTCCGGAAATCCACTTTTGACCTAGAGGTGATAGTCACATGAGTAAATATCTTTTAATGCCCTGTGAAAATACACTTGACTCAACAATCTGTTGGACAAAAACACAGTTTTGTATTTTTGCTTACGTACACCACCGCGGTGGATTTTAAATCAAACAATCAAGACGTGTTTGAAGTGCAGGCTTTCAACGTTGATTCAGAGGGTTTTACATGATAAAAATCTGCCTAGCTGAACTGTGAACAATGAGTTTTGCAGCATTTGGCTGAATCTAAGTAGAGAGTATAGCCCTGTACACTTCCAAATTCATCCTGCTGCTTACATAAGCAGTCACATCATCAATAAACAATAGTGACCCAGTCCCAACGTCTCCCACACGTGCCTATGCTATAACATTGACTCCACAATGTTTAACAGATGCTTCAGATTACGAGCTGTTTCTATCCATCTCTGCACTTCTCTCTTCCCATAATTCTGGGACAAGTTCGACTTTCATTCATCTGTCAAAAGACTTTTTTCCCACACAACTGGGTAGGCTCAGATGTTTCAGATGTTTTCTGACAAAGAGTAATCTGGCCTCCCTTTTCTTTATTTTAACCAATGATTTTCACCCTCTGTACTTCCATCCCAAAGGCTTCTTTAGATTGTAGATTGATCCATGATCTATCTCCTCAAAAGGGTTCTTGACTTGGTTAGATATTGTGAAGTTGTCTTAACCATGGAAATAATTCTGTGATCATGTACTTTAGCTGCCTTTTTTGGTCTAACCAAACCACAGACCCACGCCTTTTTAAGAATATACTTGCGTTCTCTCTATGATAGTTAGTTCTGAATTTTTCAGCCTAATGATGGCTCCCCTCACCTCCACTGATATCGCTCTGAGTCTTATATTAAAAATTACAGTGAAACACTATAAAACAAATTGAACGCTTTGAGTCAAACTGAGATATTATATCTGCTTCATTAGTCATGAAATGCAAGGGAACAGTCCTCAGCTGGCTATGAGACTGCTTGTCAGTGTATTGTCTAATTAATTTTGAGCCTCTGAAACTGAAGGACTGGATATATAAATAAATGTCTGTCGGTGTAAACCTTTTGTAAAAGCTGAAAAGCTGACTTTATTCACACATTAATTCTTTTACTTAAAATACACTATTGTGGTGTACAGGGACAAACAACCTGGGCCTCAATGCTCTCAAATACTACTAATAATAATATCCATAAACAAAACTTGCATGGTGTCTAGCATAGAGCCACGAAGTTCAGATTTAGGATCTTCCAGATGAGACAGAGTGAAGCCCAGGATCCTGCGTAGGCTGTAGCGCTCATGCTCCCAGGCTACAGTAGACTCCACAAGATTGATCTTTTTATGAACCAACCCCACCTTCACCCAGGGAAATCTGGAGGAAACCACCTGGAGGGCAATTAAATAAGATATTTGCACAAATGACTAAGACTGATGAGATCTGGTTGCTTTTCTTGCACGTGTAGAAACAGCTCCGCTGGTTACCTCCTCCAGTTGTTGGATGAAAGACTGCATTGGCGTGTCGGGTTTAGGAGGGCGGGAGACGTGCATGTACAGCTCATCGCCGTTGGCCAGTGTATCCAAGCACAGGACAAATGCCACATTGTCATGGAGAAGGCTGGACTCTGGATGGAAAATATTTAGCTTTAAAAACCTGACATTTTGTGTTTTAATTCACATTAGCACATACAGCACACAGCCCACTCATGTTCAGTGAGTGGCAAAGCTGAAAACTCACCAGCGTGGTCCAAATTCTCTTCAATCCACCTCTTTGTTCCAAGGAAATTGTATTTTCCTCCTCCGGTCAAGGAGAACATTAAATTAAATCTAAAACACACACATACACACACAAAAAAAACATAATTATTCAACAGCTTAACTTATTAACTATAACTGACCTGCACTGGCTGTTAGTTTTCCTCAAGGGTATTTCCGATCACTATCAGTCACTCAAAGCAACATCATTAGAGCCATGCAATTACAAAAGCTTTCACAGTCCAGCTGAGGTTACAATGAAAGCTAAGTTTGAAGATAGGTGTGGTCCCTGAGTAGTGAGTAACGAGGCCCTAATTTTCCTTTCCTGTTTTACTTTTCAGTGTATACTTCCTCCATACAGAATACAGTATCTTTATCCAGCAGCATATTATCTTGTTCAAAGACAGGCACAGCGGGAAAATTCATTGGAATTGCTGCGTGTTCATCTGCTTTGTAGAGACATTTATTAACTTTGCCTTTGCTTTGTAATCTTACAATGAATTGGAACTTACTGTGGTCTGGTTCTGGGACTACTGTAGAGTTTTTGGAAGAGACGGGCCAACTCAATTAGGATTGTGACACCACCGGCATTTGAGTCTGCTCCATAAGACAACCACTGTAAAATGCACACAAGCACATATCCATTTATGGTTCGAGCACAGTCTGATACTCTATCTGCTAAAATTTACACCTAATTTTAGAGGTGTTTTACGATTTGACTCACAGGGGCAAGCCCATAAGAGTCATAGTGGGCTGCGATGACTATAGTGGGTGCATCCTCTACTGCTCCTAGAAGAACTCCCTGAAATAAACATCCCCAGGCATATATCACAGAACCAAAGTGCATTTGCAAGCAGATTGAAAATTATTTAACTGATATTGGATGATCTAATCAATTTTATTCCTCTATGGGGAATTATTGGGTCCCAAACGCACCTCCAGTGTGATTATAGCATTGTCAGTGGTGGCCTTAATTGGGGCATTGTTGATCACTAAAATCTGAAAAGCTGTAGCCGTGACCATACTGCGGAGGACTGTCAACAAAAGAAGAAATGCACCAGAACCGTTAGTAATACCATACCATAACTTTCTTTTTAGTTTTCCCCGGGCATTAGTCCAAACAACCACCATTAAGCATTTGCATGTATCTCGTTGTTGTATCACTTACCTCTGACAAAAATGGATGATGTCCGGGTGGCTGCAGCCTGTTTCACCTCCTCATACATGCAGAGCAGCTGTTCATCCTCAGGTGCCACATACACTGGCATGAGGGTCTCCTTAAGCAAGGTCTCGCTTTCACTCACCATAAATGACTGAGAGACAAAATGCTTTACTTCAACCAAAGGGCAGAGAAACAATTGTAATCTTGATTAAGAGATTCTTAATATCTTCCTTATAATCCTGTTTTCTTCTGATTTCCTTAGTAATTGAGTGATGTGTCAATAACAGAATGAATGCTTTTAAGTATTATAATACCTCTACTGCATTGTGAGGGATACTGGAGATATTTTGGGGCAGCAGGATCAGGATGGCAGCTGCATTTTGTCGTTGGGCCTCGGAGTATTTTTCTGTAGTGAAGTCTTCCACCTTCATTATCACACAGCGGCGGGTTAACGACGGCTCTTCTGCTGAGCGTGCCTCCGCAACAACAATGGCTCCACGACAGCCTCGGCGGACGAGACAAGAGAAGGCAAATGATACATAAATACCAACTTGGGCAACATAGAAACTCTACTTTAAACGCAGCTTCCTCTTCCTGTTTTTTTACACAGAAAAAAAGCCTTTAGCAAACCAATCTGTTTCCAGTGGCAGTGACCACAAGCTCTCAGTGGTCAAGAAATATTAGTTCCCTCAGTCAGCTGTAATTTTTAGGTTAAAAAAAATCCTGTTGGAAGACCTTGCCTCGGCTTTCCAGCTAATCTGCACATTTTAAAAAAAATACACTGAAAATGGTTTCCTTAGAATTTGAAACATAATTTATGCTCAGAATAGGTTCTATATAATTATCCAGTTTTTCCTATATTCCTATAAAATGCTCTAAAATTGGTTACCAGATTTGTAGTGGTTTCATGAGCACCCAGGTTAAACTATAATTTGAGTTTAGCACAGACAAACTCTCTTCCTGGAACATACTGATTTCAAAATATCCTTTCAGCACCAAAGCTTGAATATGCATCATGTGGCACATTTAAGGTCAAACAAAAAACAAGCAAGACTTTAAATTTAGAAGCAATTTTATGCTACAGATTTGTCATTTTTCTTTTTTTATAATATATAGGTGTGTCTGAACTTACCATACTTATGCTGTCCCAGGTTGTACTGTTGCATCCTATAGGCAGTGAACTCATAGGACGACACGGCAGGGAGAGCGGAGCCATGCAGAGACTGCACGCAAAGCAGCAGTGCAATGGCAGCTGTGCTCTGCAACATGATGTGGCATCCAGTTGTGATCTCAGGCTAGGGAGGATGGTTAATGTTAGACTTCATAAGAGACCAGACTTCCTTCAGTGCTGTACAAAAGTCTGGAGCCACCCTTCATTTATTGCTTCCACGAAGCCAGGCGTTCTTGGAATTTTTATTTAAAGTGGTCTTTAGCAATAATTCTTCATGCTTTCTGAAGATCGTTAGACAGGGGCTTGTTTTTACTTATACTGAAACCAGTCCTTGTACCTGATTATTTTAAGAGCTAAGCCACTTAACACTAACATACAAATTGAACAAGTGGAGGAAAAGTGGAAGGCCTAAAAACTATCTAGAGCAGATGAACGCTATTTGGAAGTCATGTTCTTAAGAGATAAGATAATAATAATAATAATAATGGATTGGATTTATATAGCGCTTTTCAAGGCACCCAAAGCGCTTTACAATTCCATTATTCAGTCACTCTCACATTCACACACACAAGATCCACTAAATCCACCTGACACAGAACTCAAGAGACGCATCAGTTGGCCTTCAGTTGGCCTACTGTTCACTGAATCCTCAACAGTGGAAGGATGGGTGTCAAGAAGCAATTTAGAATCCAGGGATGGGGAGAAAAGGCTGAGGTGTGCCAAATTATACAAGAACTGTGAGCAAAATCAGTGGCAATTGTAAATTTTTGGTTCAAATCATCATTAATATGTACAGATTTCTACCTGTAAGAGGTACAACAAGCCTACAGCTTAAATGGTGGAGGCTCTGTCATGCTTTCGGGCTCTTGTCAAAACTGATGGAATTATCAGTGCCGAAAAGTGTCATCAGATTTTGATCCACCATGCAATACCATTTGAAAAGCATTATGAGAATGATCCCAAACATACTCCCAATGCAGTAAAAGCATACCTGGAAAGAAAAACACAAAATGGCTCACTATTAATCATGGATTGGTTTCCCCAGAGCTTTGACCTCAATATTAACAACATCCAAAAAGAGCTTTGATTGCACTTCTAGGCCTGGAGAACTATTCCTGAAGATAACTCAAAGAAGAAGCCTGAAGAAGAGAATTCAGGCTGTATTGAAGAATAAAGGTGGTCATACCAAATATTAACTTTCAAGCTGGTTAGAATTGTATAAACTGTTTTTGCCTTTTAAACCGTATTTCCATTTATGTTTCCACATGTTAGATATAAAGAAATGAGGGGTGACACAAGACATTTGCACATTATATCTATTATAATATTTTGTGTTTAAATAAAGTCTTTGATAGGGCCAGCAGTGTAAGGCAGAACAGATAAGGGGACAGTAATCACCCTATTCACCACAGGTTTTACAAATACCATACAAGTTTCTAGATGGATGAAAATGAGGTATTCATCATCACCTACTAACCAGTATATGAATCTTAACCAAGAATTCCTTCGATAAGGAGCCCTTCTCTGTTCACAGTGACATTTCCGAACACAAAGTCAGTCACTAACAGAAAATGTTCCTTACCTGTCTTCCTGAAGTCTTTTCTCATGAGGCTTTCTTTCTTCCTTCCTCAACTTCGGTGTTACTCCTTCCAAATGGACACATGCTACCGTTAACTCCTGGGATTCAAGGCATCTAGGTAAGCCACCATTCACCATCTGCTCCAGAGGGATCAACTCAAAGCTAATCACAAATGCCCAACCCCCTGCACTCACTACTCCATCAATCTATTGTTCCCTCCCTCCCCCCCTTGCCCACCTTGGACGTAATGTCATATACTTCAGTAGGCAATCACCCATTACCAGCAGAGTCTCTGCAGGGAAGGCAAGGAAACTCTTCCAGCCAGTAGCTGTTTGTTTCATCTCCTGCAGGGAAAACTACCAGAGTCTAAAGAAGTTAAAGAATATAACTGGATATTACAGAGTCACACGGCACCATCAAAGTTGAGATATCTAATATTTATTTTTATTTTTTTTGATATGTTGTACTATACACAGAACTTTAACACTATTAAAATCTAAATGGAACCTGTTCACAATCATCATAACAACAAATAAAAAGCTTCAGTCTGTGTATGAATTATTTCCCACATGTGAAAGTAAACAAAAAACACACAACTGCAAATAAATAGCATCAATTACAAGAAATTACCCTAAACTCAAGTCAGTGAAGAAGTCAGCTACACCTTAATTTATACATCAGCCACAAGTATTGCAATCGGTAGAAGATAATTGTGATGACTTGTGTGAAAATCCATTAGGATGATGTTAATGGTGGAAAAAAAAATACAGCTCCACAGTCACACGCAATCACTTCCTCATCATATATGCTAACTGTGCATCCACCTACTAGCTACACTGGTGACATTTTAAATTACCTACTGTGCTGTTGATGGACTTTTCTACTTTTTGCACATGATTTTATTGTCTAAACACATGGCACCTTTTTGCAAAATGTAAACTATTTTTAGTGTGCACTTTTCTAAATCAAATGCTGCAGGAACACTGAGGTTCTATCAGGGATAAAAGGGAAATAAGCAATATTTTCTGAATTGTTAATTCAGATAAATAGTTTTTTAGTTATCTCTATCCAATCAACTTTTAGTTGTTTTATGCTATAAATACGGTACTACTTCCTTATATATAGTACAGTGCAAAGGTTCATCTCTTGATGACCACCACTACAAACTTAAACGTAAACAACAAAAAGCAAAAGCAAGATCACAAAGCAAGAGTCCTTTAGGAGGTAAACATTACACACTGTATCTCCAATCGCATCAATCTTTTAGATCTTGATTGTTACTGGTGCTTTTTGTAGTCTTTCATTATCATAACAGAAAAACATAAAAGAAATCAACACATTATCAGCTTTGACAGAACCCCCAGAAACACAGCCGCACATCTAACAAGAGACTCAAAATGAGGCTCTGCACCGTAGATGCGCAGTATTTGTAACTCCTTGAATATTCGTCAGTACTTCTTGTTACTATACACTGCAATTGAATGTAAAGTGCACACAGACTCACATGTACGTTATCAGCTACGTTTCATTCAAGCTGTAGAGCTCATCGATTTTGAAATTATTTTAAAGAGATGGTGTCTCTGAATGCTTCATGATCATGAACAGTGGTACACTTCTAAAAGCTCATTACTTGAATTTTTCTGAAGCAGCTGGCGCGACCTTACATGATCATTTCTTTTGGAGTCGATTCACGTTCAAGTGACTTTTACCATCAACCAAAAAATAAATGTTGTCTGCAGAGTTCTGCCAATCTCAGAGTAATAAAATCATTAAAAAGAAAGAAGGAAAACAAAGAATGCTCTTTCAGTACATTTAAACAACAAATAATAATAATGGATTGCATTTATATAGCACTTTTCAGGGCCCTCAAAGCGCTGTACAATTCTACTATTCATTCACTCTCACATTCATACACTGGTGGAGGCAGCTACAGTTGTAGCCACAGCTGCCCTGGGGCAGACTGACAGAGGCGAGGCTGCCATATCGCGCCATCGGTCCCTCTGGCCAACACCAGCAGGCGGTAGGTGAAGTGTCTTCCCCAAGGACACAACGACCGAGACTGTCCGAGCCGGGGCTCGAACCGGCAACCTTCCGGTTACATGACGAACTGCCAACTCTTTGAGCCACGATCGCCCCACAAATAAACAGTTTCTATAGAACCTGAAAATAGTGAATGGCATAAAGCACTGTCAACATATGCTACACGTACAGATCCTGTCCCCACATCAATGAGTTCTATTGTTACTCAAGTAATATGCACTCGTTTCATACTTTACAAAAAAAACGTAAAAATGAAAAGGGATGGCATGTTAATGTTCCTATCTAAAAAAAGAAGAAGAATGACGGGAAAATATAAGATTAAAAAAAGAAAATCAGCATCCAAGCATTATGAGATCACTTCAACATGCTTCAGAACCCTGTATGTGTGACCAACACTACATCCCTACCAATGTATTTCCCATTTCCCACCCCTTTTCTTTCTACTACTTTCCTAAGTTTATGTGAACCGTCACCTAGGGAGGCTAATGCAGACAAACACACTTTAAGTACACATTTACTCGCTGAGCTGACACTATATGGTTTCACTAGATTTACTGATATTACAGTATGTGAACCTAAATGAGATTAACTATGTTTCTGAAAGCACATTAATGTCTCCTCAGCACAAGGATGTGCTAAGAGCTCAATAAAAACGGATAAATTATCTGCACAGGCTGGTCATCTGGGCACAGTGTTAACAGGCAACATGCATTTTTCTGCTTCTTTTTTTTAAACTAAATATAAAACAACGGCCCAGTACAATCTTTGTGTTAAAGATAAACATGTAAAAGAAAAAATAAATAAAAAGAAAGGAATCTGGATTACTACTTTATTATAGCATTAGTGTTTTATCGGCAGCTGGATGATTTAGCACGGTGTTCCTGGGCTTAATCACACACATCATGTTTGACACATATATACACAGGAAGACAAAGCAGACTGGCTGAAAGAAAAGAAAAAGAAAAACAATGGCCACTACAAAGCTTCCGATCTCTTCTTGTCCTTTGTGTACATCAGTAGAAGAAGTCATCTGCTTGGATGGGCAGATGACGCGGTAATAACAACCTGTCACCATCACACGTATTTGGTTGAGCTCCTGTCATTTTACAGTTTTTTTTCTTCACCAGCGTTGCACCATCGCGGTCTGTTTAAGCCAGAAAATCCACAAGCATGAGATGGAAGTTCAAACAAAGTCGTGTGTTTCTCTTAGAGGTAATGTTTCTGCCATCAGTCGAGTCCCTTTTGAACCAACAATGCAGAAGTAAGATGCACAGATCCTACCATAGGAGGAACATGCACAGATACTGTACATATTCAATTTTCGCATTTATAAACCCTTGGTTGTTGTTTTTTTCCCTTTGTGCCTTTGCCAGCCTTTAATTTTTCTTCCTCTGTTGCCACTCTGGTCAGTTGTTGGCCTCAGTACAGGTGGCATGGAGGAGACTGTGTAGGTGGGGTTAGTGCTACTGGATTTGACAGGCTGTGGAGGGAGCAGCCTGGCAGCACATACAAGTGGGGTTGACTGCTTTAGGAGGGATCAGATCCAGATCCTCATCATCAGGAATCTCATCAAGTCGGTAACCGTCCTTCAGGAGCTGGATGTTCAGGTCCTGGTTGATCTGCTGTGAAACCCGAAGAAACAAGTATCAGGCATCAACTTTCTATGCTGATTCTAGAAATATATAGCATAGATCAATAGAGAGAAAATAAATCTTTGTAGTCTAAATTAATAAAAAGACACACAAAGCAGAAATATAGCAGAGTACAGAGAACTTACTAATGTAATGGCTTGAGTCAAGAACCCCAAAAATATAAATAATTTATATATTTATTCTACTCTAAGTGGAAGAAATGAAAAGGAACAAATCTATCCGGATGACAATTATGGAGAAGTCATTACAGGTGAGTGTGAGTGAAAGATCGAAGACGCCAGTGTACACTTGAATGGACGCACATACGCACAGACATCTGGTGTGACAAAGGAAGTGTGTGATCACATGGCGGTTTTCGTGATTTCACCACACGATGCTGTGAAACAATATAATATGTGTATAAATACCTGGTCCCTCAGACATCTCACCTCGGCTGAGGAATATCCTGATGAGGAGTATCTGGACATGTCAAAGTCATCGTCACTGCAAGACACGACATCAGTGGTTAGACATTAAAAATGGGGTGGGGGGGCGTCGATGAAACAGTAAGTTGTAGTGATAATGAAATAGTGGGAATTGAAGCCGGTCGCAGCAGTTGCAGTAACAAAACAAAACTCAGTCTACTGATTCATGACTGCCCGTATCACATTTACAGCCTCTATTGGGGTTATTTATTCTCCAGATAAAGATATTTAAATTTTAAGACTTGCAAACCTCCACAGTTCCACTAGAAACTCAGAAGCTATTATCCAGCATAATGCATGCAGTTTACACTACCTGAGCAGCACTTCTCTTTGAAAAGGGATTATATTAATTAAAGGTGTTATATTCATCTTTCAAAGAAAATCTGAATGTAACCTTTGAAGGGAAACACAAAGTGGTGAAATTTCCAAACTACTGGACCTCACAGAAACATTTTTTCCTACCGTAGTTTCATGTTAAACACTCTTAGTTAAGACAAAGCTGTCGTAAATCGCTTATTACAGCCTGATGAATGTCACTCATGCACGATGAGATATGCGCTCATGAGATCTGATCATTAGCATAACCAACGCCTCCATAACTACTCTATATTTAGCAGAGTCAGTGGAGGCTTTAGAGGACCAGAAACTATTAAAAATGTGTGTTTGATCAGGGCTGTAGTGAGAAAAAGGAACTAAAAGTGTTAATTAGAATGTGATACAACATCTTTGGTAAGTGGTCCGTGACTAACATGAAATTTATCAAATGACGGAGATAAGAAATAACAGAATATTATAGCCTGCATTAGGTTGTGTTAAAGTGTTGAGTGATGCTGGACAAACAACAGCAGAACGACTGTGAGGCATTTGGCTGAGAGACTTTTAGGAAAAATGACTGTATCATGTATGTGGCAATGAAAAAATATGTAATTATAAATAGTAAATTAAATTTTCTTTCATTTCTGTATCATATTTAAGCTCAAAATGTATTCAGACAAAGGTTTTGTCTATTTTTGTCCTGTTGCCTTCGTAGAGAAAGATGATATAGAGATATAGAGAGAGTAAAACGGGGAGACATTGAGTGAAGGACGTGTACATGAATCTAAAATGTGAACAATGAACAAATGGGCATCCCGTGAGGCTATGAGTCAGAGAAAGCTTGTCAGACAGAGTATATGATGCAATACATGATGTAAGCTTTGTTGGCTATCAGAGAGCTCGTTTTACAAGAGCGGGTTTGCCACATGTAGCAACACAAGGGGGTGCGAAGGGTGGGACTCATCTGTGTCAAATACTGTCCTGCTGGCACAGGGTGGATGTGAGCGCTCTCTTTGAGCTGCTTTTGCCTGTCCAAATCCTCACCCCGCTATCCTCTAATCCGGAGCCCTGGGAGAGGCTTTGCCCCTTTTTAGGATACCGGCTGTTAAGGACTCTCTCAAGTTACTCTTTGGATTAATATGCCGACGTGACAGAGAAAGGCCTACAAAAAATACAAGTTCTACAAGGCAGTTGTATTTTTAGCTCATCTGCACACTTCCTAAAAATCTGTCTGTAAAAAAAAATGATTTTAATTAAGTCGACGTGACAACATGTACGGTACCTACCTGTCTGTGTCCAGCGCTACCAGAGGCTTCTCATCTGGGCTCTGGTCTAAGGAGGAGTAGCCTTTGTTTGGCACCACCAGCCTTCAAAAGAGAATGGAGAAGAGCACACTTCTATATTAGAAGTAAACTTAAAAAAGCAATCAGCACATGTCCTTCACATTTGTGAAGAAATCTAACACAACATTACCTGCAATACCTGCAAATGTAAAAGTCATAGAATCAAATAACAGCATTTGATATTTGTGATATGTATGCCATCCATCCACCATCCATTCCATTCATTTCCCCCTAAAAAGAGGCTAATCTGTAGCTTTCCAACTGCAGGCAGTGCCAGATTATCTTTCTGCCTGAGAGAATGTGGGTTAAGATCAGTGGGTAGCCTTTCTTATAGTTCCACTAATCCACCAGGGAGTGGGATTAAACAGATGCGACAGTAATACTGCGGGTTGCACTTGTTTCACTCACAATGTTTTAACACTTGTATCAGCCTTCCCACTCACAAACCACCAAATCTGCCTTTGCTAAAAAGCCCAATTGCATTCTGCTATAGCATTAAGGAGTCTGATGGCATCCAAAGCAGCCCTGCAGCAAATAAAGCCTTTTCAGAGGACGCACAGTCCTCATGTTTTGCATTTCAGGAGCTTTGAGCTTCAGACCTGAATGGGGAACTGAAGATAGAAAAAAATGCTAATGAGCGCAAAGTGTAACATTTGTGGCTGAGCGGGTCAGAATAACAGAGAAACAAACAGGCAGTGGAAGCCGCTACCTTGTCCTGGCATTCTTCTTGGGTTGTTGATTGACAGGACTTCCCACGGTGCCATTCTTCACCGATCCCTTCCTGGCAAGGTCCCTCTGTTTCTCTGGGCAACCACAGGATGCGAGGTCATCAGTAAATGCACCAATTAAGCTAAAAACACTGGCATTGTTCCTTGACTGTTTTGTTTTTTTTTTTAATCGAGTTTCCTGTTTTCATGTCAAAATTGCTTTATCCAAATGCAGCCTATATAATACAGTATGCCACAGTGTAGCGAACCAAGGCTACTGTGCGGTGCAAGGTCATTTTAATATGGCATCTATTAGGACTGTCCCATATCAGCCAAGTTTTGATTGGTTGTTTAGCCACAAAAAAAGAAAAAAACATCAAGGTCAACAAGAAGAAGTGGCAACACACACAGCATCCGTTAGACAGCTGGTCTCTGAAGTTATTAGACAGTAAGAAAGACTGAAAATAATAAGGAAAATAATTTCATTGACATCCAGTATAGATAAGAAATATCACATGGTGCTTGATGTTTACGGCCTCATGTTGACTTTGGATGACACAGCAAAGCAAACCTGCATACTGTGGTATCCCACAGCAAAGGTAATTGATTTCTAAATGATAAACATGAAGACATGTCATGCATTGATTTGCGGTGTGTTGACTACAATACCTATTTGGACCTGCAGCGGCGAGGGCTTGTAGTTCATGGCCACACTTTCTCCCTTAGTGTCAGGCTCTGCCTCTGAGGTGGAAGATGCTGCGGGGTCCTAGAGAAAAAGAAAGATGTGTTAGGTTGTGTTTCTTTATTTATGACTGGCATTTAACTCTTTACTGTAGAGGTATGTGAGACTGAACAAAGTCCAGTCAACTCACTCAGACGAGAGTGACTGTCTGATTTATTACTAACCAACAAAGCTGGCAAATCAGCCTGCTTTAGAACCTACTCGGGTAAAGCACCCTGGAAAGTTTCCTGCAGCCTTCTATCGCTGCTTGGATTGCAGCATCAATAGGCTTGAGTGTTCGGCCTATGTTAGCAGCTCTCTCTTTCATGTGTGAGCAAGTGGTGATTGCATGGGGAGTTGGCTGTGGGAGAACAGAGGGGGTTGCTGTTGAAGCCACGCTTTCGCCAGATTGAGAGAGGGGAGGTAGGCCGCACTTGGCCTCCTCTCCTCACAGAGCTGCACATTATGTTGATCCCACAGGCCTCCCCTTGTTGCGCTGTGTGGGACTCAGTGGGCCACATGAACGAAGGCTACCAGGCATTTGGCTTTCGATAACTTTGAATACTCTCCAGAGAAACGGGTGCTATATTTAAAAAAGGCTTTAAGCAAATAAATATCTGGAGCTGAAATTTGACACTTTAAGTTAAAAAATTCATACCAGTGGTGTATCTGAAATAGCGTATGCTCCCTGTCTGAATATGCTATGACAATTTCAAATGAATAAGTAGTGGTGGATGGCTAAAACACTTACAGTACTATACCAGTTCAGGTCAATTCTAAAAGACAAATAGAGCTGATCTGTAATCATTTAGCAGAGACAGTAAATAGATTACTGTTCCTCTCGGAGAGGACATGATGCTGCGTTTTGCAATTGTAAAGAATGCAAACCAGAACCGCACCAAAATGTAATGGGTTAATATTTTTAGAATTGCTGAATAATAAAAGAGATGCTTTGCAGTTACATATCAGTCTGTTTATGGGTGAAAAAAGCTGAGTAAGCAGACAGTGCTGGCAATTATGTAACATTAGATAAGATAAACCTATTGTGCCTCATTTAAGGAGCACAGTATTCATCTACAAATTATATACAGCCAACAGTTTTGCATTTACAGTAAACACGTCTGCATTTTATTTATATATTATGCACTCTGTGCCAGTTGGACATGTAGAGCTCCAAGGACAGTAGAGCAAAGTCGATGATCTTCTGTGCTGTGTTGACGACTCTCTGGATTGCTGTCTTTTCCTGAGCAGTGCAGCTGGCAAACCTCACTGGGATGTAGCATGCCAGTGCACTTTCAATAGAGCATCTACAGAAAGACAAACAGCAGCTCTGTCCTCTGACAAGTTACAATTATGACCTCAAGAAAAAGATAAGCTGAAAGATAAAAAGCTATTTTCAACAAGTGACCCATAGCAGGTAGCTCTGCATGTTTGATTGAGGAGTTTTTACACTGGATGCCCTTCCTGACACAACTCCAAAGGGGATTTGTGTCTCCTCCCAGGATCAAACCAGGGATCTTTCACATATTAGACAAATGTGAAACAAGTGCAGCCCAATGTGCTATGGAGCCACCCGCAATGTATGTTAGATCCAAATTCCAAACAACTGTAAAACAGAGTAGTTTGTGTGTGCATTTTCAGCAGCGCGACCATTAAAACAAAAAACAAAAAATCATGAAAACTGCAATAGTGGATACGATACACACATTAAAGGAGGTTGTGAAATCACAGCACACAGATGAGGTATTCCCACCATAACAAGCACAAATATCTTCTGTTCTGTGACAGGCCCGTCCCTTAGAACCTCAGGCTTACCCACCGGATTTTTACTTTGCTTCTTCGTGCTTTCCTTCCACTACAGAAAGATGCTGTGATGTTGTACGGTCACACCGCCTGTCAAATAAATCCTTTTGAAAATTTTCAGCAGAGCCTGCCAGTGAATAATGAATAGGATTCGGTATTAAGCTGTTTGTGACAGAAATTCCTGCCACTTCTTAAAAAATAGGACAGCACAATTACAGACGGCAAGTAGCAGGTACCCACGATAAGCAAGTTAAAACAGGCCCTGGAATATGACAACCCAGAACACCTTGTATTAGGTAGAAAGTTGGCCCAAAGAATTGAATTTAACATTTCCAAACCCAAATGATAATCAAGCCATTGTGGAGGATATTAGGTGGCAATGAGATGCAATGAGATGAGATTAAATTGAACTAGACCTTATAAAACATGCATTAAGAGCATAGATAGTCCCCAAAGACCCTGTATTGACTGCTGACAACTACTGATGAAAGATTAAAGGATGATCTATGACACTTGGGGCATTATATTTATTTATATGTATGACAATAAAACATGGGCCATCGGCCTGACCTTCATCGTGCATTCGCATACACATTCATTCACTCTGTCGTCCTGCTTGCAACCTCTTTTCTACCTGTGATGATGAAGTGCCACAAGGTTGCTGACACGGCATAAGCACCAAGCGATTGCTAGGATTATGCATCACGGCCATCCACTAGCCAATAGCAGCTAAGACTGATACATCAGGTGGCCTTTAAAACAACTGAATGCTTTCCTTATGCAAGGCAGTGATGACTATATCGCTGTCTCAGTGCGTTGCAGGGAAATCTTCCATAAATAGATGTAGCCTACAGTAATCACTGTCAGATGTTCTTGTGCTGAAGAGCATAAAAGGGAAGTTCTCAGGGAAGTTGCTTTTTTTTCCCACTGAAAGAAAAAATATCATATAGAAAAGGAATTAAACGGCTCAAACTTGAGTATTAATCTGATTTATTTGTGTGAAACAGAGTCCTGACAAAGAGGCAGGTGCCATGAGCATTCAAGCATCCCATTCACAATGAAGTTATTAGCATTAAAATGCACGGCCATATGTGGCTCAGTGGCTGAGATCATGAGCTGAACTATAAAATAATATTTTTAAACCCACATCGCCTTTTACAGTTGAAAGATGAAAAGGAATACACAATGTGATTTCAAGACTTTTAGGGCACGTGCTGACCAACGCCACTGTATGCACAGCCTAAGCAGGGCCATCTCTGATTCAGCTTCACAAGGAAACCTCTCTGGATCAAACACGAGTGCAGACGGATCTGATCTTAACACAGCAAGGTGATCGCTGCTGCACAAAGCAAACGAGACTTTGTGAGGGAAGCCTGTTCTTGTGTGATTTCCTCAGGGGTAGTAAGGCTGGAAAAGCACGGGTATAATGTGAACAGTATGACTTGGAGCACTGCTTTTGCCTAACCCCCTGAGGCAAACGCTTAAAAAGAAAAAAAAAAGAAAAAAGGGCAGCTGTTTGAGGCTGCTTTGTTTCACATGTGAAGAAAAAGGCTTCTGTGTTAGTAATATCTGGCAGTGATGTACTGTTGATATAAAAGCACTTAAAAATGAACGCAAAACTGAACGCAGGGAATGAGGCCAGTTGTTCAATTTGTCAATAGTGACCACGACTTATTTCAAATCTAGAGAGAGAGAAACATTATAAGCAGAAGGAAACGGTAATGACGTAAGTTGCTGGTGCTGAAGTAAATCCATTTCAATTTTTTCTGACAGGTCTCGAAACTTGTCAGTGGGTAAAATATGCAGGGACTATCCTCTTACTTTGGGCCTGCTCGAGCCAACTATTACCACACTTCAGTCCGCAGTATGGGTATTCACGCCATTTGGACTCACCCATCCCGACCCAAATAAGACGTCACCAAATGACGAAATGTGAAAACAGTGAGCTGTGTCAGCTATTGATGTAAACAAGCGCATACTGACGTGAATTTGAAAGAATCACGATTTCTGCAAAGTGCGCAGTTTAATTGCTTTGAGAAAAAAAAGTAACGGCTTGTTCATCTATCAGTTATTACATGTAATGCTAATATATTTATCGTACAGAGAAACCAACAGACGCGTTCCTTTCCTTTCCATCTATAGATGGTCGATTTACACCCATCCCACAGAGCCAGCTTGTCCCAGAGCTCCAAATTTTTATCGGCTAGCTCAGAGGCAGATTACATGACACGGCTATCACTATAAAACCACACAGGCGACACTAAAACTTGCCCTTTTGCCTACATTATAAACTGATTTGCATGAGATTTGTATTTTGTTTTTTGGGTGGGGGGATTTGTCTTTCGTCTCTTACCAGAGGCTGTGTCTCTCCGTTAACTGGAGGCACTTGGAACCTGTCGATTTCTTCCATCATTTTGCCAAAGCGTCGCAGAAAACGATGCAGGGGTTTAAGCTGTACGTCGAATGTACTCGAACTATGCCAGGTTTATGGTGGTCGGCAGTCGGCATCCTTCGTTAATCAGCATGATAGCTGCTCGTTTTCTTCCATCCTGACAGAGGTGACTCGACAGCAAAACAGCAGTACCGCCCCACTTCCGGGTCTATAAATTATTCAGGCAAAAACCGTCCAATCAGAGATGAGATCCCCACTGGAACTGCGCCGTGAACCAAATTCGTTTTTTCAGTTAGAATTGCAAAGGCAAGCATACGCGCGTTTTTGTGTTTTTTGTTTTGTTTTGGGGGGATTTTGGAGGGGGAAGGGTGTTTGTTTGATTTTTTTTTTAAATTTAATATAAAAATACACTTGTTTCCTTTTCATAATAAACTCTCCTTATTTAGTATAATTATGTCAAAAGCATTCAGACCACTTTTTTTTTTCCTTTAGCTGATAAAATTAGAATAATACTGCTAAAATAGTTCACTAATAAAAATGTTCAAGTGTTGTCTGAGGGACTGAACACATCCAGCAGTCTCCGGCTCTGCGCCAACCAAAACTGGTTGTCTTGACAACCTATATACAGCAGCAGGCTACGAGCAGACAGCCCCTTGTTCTTTCTTTCTTTTCTATTCTTTTTTTTTTTTTTAGCTTTTAACTAGTTTAATTTTGTTTTGTTTTTCCCTTTTTTCTTTCGAACTTTCTAAACTAGCTTTAAAAATCAAATTGAAAATGCCGGTGCCTAACAACAACGCAGCGTTTGCAAGGAAGGTAAACGTCAGCTCAGTTTAGCTGGCCTTAATTAGCTAACTAGAATATTCATGGTGTAGCTTCACGGATAAGTAAAGCAATTGTTAAGGACCTACTGTAATATAACCCACCGTATAGCTGATTGTTGGTTATTTTCGCACAGGGGTCAAACGTTCAGAAGGTACCTGGAGCAAAGTCAACGAAAGCTGCCACTAAGAAAAAGGTGGGTGTGTTTATTGGATAGGTTTTGGCGTTTGGGTGACGGAAAGAGAAGAGTGATGAATATACTATATCATAACATAATGTGATTTTTATTCATAAATGTCTTCTCTATGCAACGTTACAGGATGAGGAAGAGGCTGTGGAGACGGGGACTGGATGGGAGGAGTGGTCTCAGGGGAAAGCCCTTGTGAGGCCTCCAGATCAGATGGAGCTTACTGAGGCTGTAAGAGAAGGATGGAAATACTAATTTCTCAGGTTTAAGACAACCATGTGGGCTGAACTGAAGAAATTTGTGCAGACTTTGATGCTGTTCTTTATCATTCAGTGCCTATATTAAAATTGTTAGCTATAATTAAATTAATTGTCCTTGTGTTAAGGATCTCTCCATGTTGATAATGAATAGGAGCTGAAGGAGGACATCACAAGGATTCTGACTGCAAACAACCCACACGCCCCTCAAAATATTGTCCGCTACAGCGTCAAGGTAAAGAAGCTAGATCCAGATGGAAAAATCAAAATCACTGTTTATAGATGCAATGAAAGTATACAAAATACAGATTAAGATGTGGACTGTAGACTGATGATTGCTTCACTGTGAGCCTCTTACGTTTAGCATAAGAATAACTTGTTTGCCGCAAGTGTTATTTGTTTCATCTCAAATAATTTGATACAATCTATGCAGGTAGTCCCCATGCATTCGCTTCTCCTCTCTCTTTTAATTTATAACCAGACTAAACAAGCACATTTCGTTTCTCTCAGGAGCGTTCCTACAAGCCTATCAATGTTGTGGATCAGATGGCGGTTCACTGTGTTTTAGAGGGCAGCCTTGTGCATCAAGACTCTGAAGAGGCTCGTAAACTTAGAGTCAAGGAAGGCTTAGCTCAAGGTATTTACTGAAACATCCTACAACAGAGGATAATATGTATAGATTTTGCTCTACTTTATATATATGATGTATAAGATAAGTCAAAAAGTCTTTAACCACCCTGTATTTCTTTATATTTTGCAAGGGGGAAAAGACATTAATTGAACATTTATTGAAAAGGAAATGGAAATACATTATATACATATAGTAAATATAGCAGTAGTAGTAGTAGCTGTAGTAAAAACAATACTGTATTTAGTACAGTATAGTAATGGACTTCCTCCATACATAGTGTTGACGATGTCACCAAAAACTTTAAAACTGGGATTCATTACTCTATAAAACCTGTTTCCACTGATTTTTAATGCAGTTCTTGTATAAGTTGCTCCCCAGTTCCCTTGTGTTGTTAAAATGGCTTCTTGACACTTTCCACTTGTCCAGTTTTCTCTGATTTTTTTAAGGACACACTGCACACTATGCTGAGATATGGCAAGTTTTTAGCTCATACCTATTTTGGAAAATATTGCTTAAAACCACTTTAAAAACTTATGAGAAAGTCTGGCTCATTGAAAAACAAAATATAAAGAAATGACGGTTGCTTTCACTCTGTAGTCAAAAAAAGAAACAAACCCAAAAACTAATGATTTATTCTCAGAATTTGTTTTTGTTGCCTGTAGTGTTATATTTTCCCCTCTGTTGTAGTTGACACTTGATGCCTCAAGGTGTCGCTTTTGCCTTGCAACATAAAATGTGAGCAATACCCTGTTTCGCAAAAAGTGAGATCCCAATAGTGAGATATCAGAGATATAATAGATTTTTTTTATGTGTCTAGAGATTGCAACAGTTGATGCCACAGCAGAGTCTGAAGAGGAGAAAGCAGAAGCCTCGGTGAAAATTTTTTATAAAATAAATCTTTTCCTAAACTTAACTCTTTAAAGCGTAAATTAGTCAAAGTTTGACTTGCGCTACAAATATCTGTTTGTTGGTTTTCCACAGGTTAATCCTATAGTGGATGGAGGGGATGTGGAGGAAGCTGCCGATGAGGACAGACCAGACAGTGCTGTCTCCAGAATCAACAAGAAAGAGCCAAAAGTGACTAACCAGTTTAACTTCAGTAATCGAGCCTCTCAGACTCTCAATAATCCAATGAGGGTAGGTAGGAGAGGCAAAGCCAGTATTTTGTGCAATGGTTGAAGTATTTGCTTTTAATAATAAAGTGCATTAAAACAGTTTCAATGAGTAGATAGAGAGATTAACATAAACTCAAAAGTTTCAGTGAAGTCATTCTTAATTTCCTTGCAGGATAGAATCTGCCAGACTGAACCTCCTCCACGAAGCAGCTTCTCTGCTACTGCTAATCAGGTACTGGATTCCCTGATGTGATCAAAGGATATGTTTAGGCCACATTTGTTTTCTCTCTGTTGAGCATCAGCGAATATTTGTTCCCCTATCATTTGATGCTAATAACTCTGTTATTGGCAGTGGGAGATCTATGATGCATACGTGCAGGAGCTGCAGAAACAAGAGAAAAACAAAGAGAAGCAGAAAGGCATGCACTCACAAAAAGATAATGGCAAAAGCAAAAAGGTGATGCTGATGGAGACTCAGGTAAGTTGACGACTGAAAAACTTTACAGCCTAAACTCAACATGCATCTAATATTTGTATTTTAGCACATTTACATTTAATATGGTTTACACATTCATTTAACAATCAAAAAATCTGGGAGGTGACACAAGGTCCTTAGGGATTTTTTCAGGAAGGGCATCCGCTGCCACGGTAACCCTTTGGGAATAAAGGAGCAGACAAAAGTTGCTTTATCTTGCTGCCATACAAACCATGTATATAACACCATATTAATGCATTACTAAGGGTTTTCACTGAGCTACTCATAAAACAAAATCACTAAATGACACCATAATTTTTATGTTCTCATAATAGTCATGTTTATTGTTTATTGCATGCTTTTGCAATGTTTTCATCCAGTGTAATGTCACATTTCTGTTATAGAGTGAAGATGTCACCAAATGGACCATGGCATCAAAGATCCTTGAACGAACGATCAGTCAGAATACATTTGATGACATAGCACAAGGTTTGTTTTGTTATTGTACATAACAGATAAAGAACAATGAACTACAGCCTGATTTCATAATCAAGCAAGGACATTCTCATCTCTTTTCTTCTCCTCTAATTTCTCTCCTTCTATACCGTTTCAGATTTTAAATACTTTGAGGATGCCTCTGATGAGTTTAGGGAGCAGGAGGGAACCCTTCTCCCCTTGTGGAAGTTTCAATATGACAAAGCCAAGACACTGTCTGTCACTGCCCTCTGCTGGTAGGTTGACTCACTGGCTCTAGAACGTTACCTCAGAGAGATGACTGGATTTCAATGATTGTTTGTTTCCTCTGCTGGCATGATACTGAGTCACCTGTCCTTAACAGGAATAATAAATATCAGGACCTTTTTGCTGTGGGATTGGGATCATGTAAGTTCAAAGGCAGAGAGCTGTTAGTAAGCACCTCATCTGTCACCGTCTTAGACAACTTAAATTTATCTAAATTGTGTTTTCTTTCTTTTTTAAACAAATGCTGTAAATTAATAATCTATCTTTTTTTGCAAACCACTCACTTGTGTCCCTCTCTTGGCCAGACAACTTCAGTAGACAGGGATGTGGCATGCTTCTCTTCTACTCGCTGAAAAACCCTGCCTTCCCAGAGTACATCTACCCCACCAGTTCTGGTGTCATGTGCCTCGACATTCATGCACAGCATTCCCACCTGGTGGCAGTGGGCTTCTACGATGGCTGTGTGGCTGTCTACAGCTTGAAGGAGGAGGGACAGGAGCCTGTTTACAAGAGTACAGCCAAGACTGGCAAGCACACAGATCCTGTCTGGCAGGTGCGAGTGGATGGCATGACAGTGGTGGATAGGGTGACAGAAATTCAGGATGTGTGCACTGTTCAGTCTAATTTCTGTCACATCTTTGCTTACTTTGTGTCCACTTATGCATTTTGCCATTTTGAGAGCTGAAAATAGCACTAAGAACAGCCTACTTTCACTCATGTCATTCATGCTACTGCAACCCAATACAGTGTACTTTTTTTTCTAGGTCCGCTGGCAGAGTGATGATATGGACAACAACCACAATTTCTATTCTGTGTCGTCTGATGGCCGAGTTGTGTCCTGGACACTCGTCAAGGTTAGCCGAGGAGATATACATTTTGTTGCCGTATTATATCTGTAGCTTGCACTCAAATTAGGTTCAAATTTCTCATGTGCACTGCACAAAAGCAGTTTGCTTTGGCTTTTGTATTTGTT